AATGGATTAATCCTATAGCATGAAGGATATCTCTAAGTGTTTCTTGATGGGCAAGACACTTAGAGAGATGCATATAAATAGAAGGCTCCCTCCTAGATCCGAATAACACAACAAAGCTAAACAGAAATTCACCCATCAGAGTTATAGCTATAAGGATCAGATTCTCAGGAGAAGAACTTCTATACCTTGCGCTGCCAATCTGTTCCAGCATCATCCAATTTGCGCCAGCACCATGTCAGACTCAGGTTAGTGTTAAACATGTTATGGCTTTAAGGAATTAACAGAAATCCCAAGAATTATCAGCCTCCTGGGTTCTGAAGACTTGTCAACTAAAGTGGTAGCCATAAATTGCATTCTTGAAATTGCGTTTTTGGGCAGAGAGGAAGTGATTGGTTTAATGCTTGAAGAGCACCTGATCAAGAAGCTTATGGGTGTGCAGAGATTGGAGGTGGGTTTGCAGTCCAATGAGGACGAAATGGAAGTGTTTGTGCGGAGGAGAAAGAGCCAAAAATGGAGGAAAGTGTGGAGAAATTTCCATTTTCAAGGTGGGTGGCAAGTTTTGCAGTGCAAGTGGAAGTTGGGGAAGGATTGGAGCAAAGTGAGAAAAGAGCTTTTAAATTGGAAATACTGAAGAGAGTGAGAGAGGCCTCTGTTTCTGATGCAGAGGCAGCTACTGTTGTTGCAGAGGTGCTGTGGGGTTCTTCACCCAAAGAAGAAATTTGGGGGGAGCGCTGGGCGTTGGGTTCTGCCAGAGTCCGTTGATTGCGTCTGTGATGGTGTGGTTTTGATTCAAGCCATAAGCAAATCCATCGGACTCGCATGTTCAAAATAGGACGCTCGCTATTTTGTGAACCCAATTTTGGCTCTCTATATTACACACGAGTCCGGGTTTTAACTATTGGACTATAGAGTATCATTTAAGTTAATTTCCTCCCTTGCCAAACATAGGTTTTAAGTGTTATTTAACACAGTCCAGTCCAATGAGGCATAGTAAGGCATACCAAACATACCCGAGGTTCTTATATAAGACCTTTAGGTGAGGCTTTATCTCTTAACCGTTGGATCAAATTGGTTAACCGTTGAATCAAATTAGTTAGGTTGATCCAACGGATAAGAGATAAGACTTTATTTAAGGCTTATATATTGGGCTTCAAAAACCCAAAATGAACCATGCCACCAACTTTTATAACCAAGCCCATACCCAACTTTAAAAAAACCCAAAATACAACATGCCCAAATAGAAAAAGAAAAAAAAAACAACACAAAAGAAAAGAACCCAAACAAGGATCCGTACAGAAAGGGCAAGCAAAAAATAAAAATTAAAAATTAAGGCTGTTTGGTATTCTACTAAAAAAAAGTTGGGGCCCATCCAGGACCACCTCGTGGTTCAAACCAAAAAAAAAAAAGTGAATTCAAAAACCATGATTCTTTTACAAATATGAATTTTCAAATACAATATTTAAAAACTTGTTTGGTATTGAACTTTAAAACTTGTTCCAATTGATTATCATTTTTAAAATTTTAAATTAAAAAAAAAAGTAAAGAAGAAGCCCATTACCTCTATTTATACCTCTCTCTCTCTCTCTCTCTCTCTCTCTCTCTCTGATGAACCAATGAAAATTTGGGTTGTCGAGATCTAGGTCATTGACATCGTCGTCTTTCATCAGAATGGTCTCGATCTCGCCGATCCAATATTGGGTGAGTTCAATGGAGCCTCCTCCACCGTTGATGACTCAACTATAGAGAGAGAGAGAGAGAGAGAGAGAGAGAGAGAGAGAGAGAGAGAGAGAGAACTCATCCCCAAATTGAATATCTTCATAATATTGATGCTAGAAGTGGGTCTATACCTAAAAAACTAAGGGATCGTTTGCTTCTCTAAGAAATACTTCTGCTCATAAGTGCATCTAACAAAATCGCTTTTATTAGAAAAATCTTGAATTTTCATATATAAAAAATCTAAGTGCTTCCTCCATAAAGCGATTCTATGATCTATAAATGCTTTTAAACTTTTTTTTATCAAACATTATCAGAAATACTTTTAGTTGTCAGAAAATGCTTTTAATCTCTCTAAAAGCACTCCTAAAATAATTTATGCAAAGGAGCTTAGAGCTTGAAAGGTAAAGAGTCAGCCCCTCTTCCATCAGATGGGTCTTCTATTTATAGGCGTAGTGCTAAGGCGGTATGCATGGCCTGGGTAGGCCCGTCCCACTAAACTAAACAAGTGGGTTCTAGTAATTCGTCGCCTTCGAGTAGATGCCCAATCAGAGGTCAACGAGTAGATATTCATGAATGCCTTCTGCGTGGCCCATTGGTAATCATACACATCATCTTAATTTGTCGCGTCCCAATCAATATTAATTTGTACTGCATGCATTTTATTGCTCTGTGTTTTTAGTGTAGAACTTATTGGATTGATTAACCAATTGAAATTTAGTCGTAGTTCAGAAAACATCAACTTGATCCTGAGCAGCTGAACTCCTTCGCCATTGCTGGCGGTTATGTAACCAATTGAATTTAGTCGTGGTCTAGTTCCTAGTTTGGCTCTAGCCTGCTTTGCTAATTCAATAAAAGGTTTATTGGTTTGTTTATGCATATATTCTTTCTATACGAATGATATCGTAAAATGACAAAATTGATGACACATAATATAACCACTTGAGCTCAAGCTCGTTGCTTTCTTCATGTTTTCGTAAAAGTGTACGAATTTTAATTTTTCGACCCTGCGCCTTAATATTAGAAAAGGCCATAACTTCGCTTCAATTTTGTTTGGTGAAAGGAATTTTGTGTTTTCATTATAAGTCTATTGCTGCCAGTATAATTCCACTAGTTTGGGCAATTCTACTCTAACTGGCAAGACCCGATAGTACGAGTTCTTCTGCTTTAAGAATATGTATATTCCACTTTCAAGCAGGTTGCTTTCAACTCAGAGGCACCAATTTCTTTGCAAATTAATCATCATATATATAGTTGGGGGTGTATCAACTTTCGGTCTCACTTTCTTTTTATTAAGCTTTTTTTTATTTTTATTTTTATTTTTATATTTACTTCTTTTGGTCTCACAAGATTTATACAGTTGGGAAATATTCCTTGTGCATCGTCATATTATTAGAGGAAACTTAGAAAGCCCTGTAGCACACAACTTTTCTTTATTTCTTTTCCATCAATAATTGCAATTTAATATTTGTCTCATGCGAATCACATTACTCACTACCTAATAGCTTTCACAGTGACTTTTTTGATTGCTCACAAGACTTCATTTTTAGGTCTATAGGTGAGCGAGACTGCTAGTACTTAATATTTCTTCTTTTTTTTTTTTTTTCGGTCGTGCACCTAATATATCCATTTACACTATCTTGAGAAAATTATATCCTATTACAATTTACAATAAATAGTTTTTCTTTTAAAATTATTATATGTAATTTAAATTTACTGTTAGATTTTTAATTACTTACAAACCCACTTTTTTTCTTCTCATTTTTCTCACTCCACTATCTTCCACCTACACAACCGTAGCGTGGGTCCTATATTTTTAGTATTATCTTTGAAGTAAAACAAACCTCACACACAATCATCTTCCAAAATAAAGGACCATTTGGCGTTATCCTTGCAAGCAATCGTGTCATGCCACTTCAAAATTTTCTTTGATATGGTAATGGACTCGCGTCAAGTAGGAGATCTCTTTTTCAGGAAGACCTTTCTGTGGCGTTATTAGCTTTTTCTGTGCAGTTTTCCGTGACTCACTTTGTCCTCGTATTACAGAGTGGGTCACATTGATTCATTGCAATGCGGGACCCCCAACACTAAACTTGCCCCCTTTTTTTTTTTCTGCAGCTTAAACTAATAAGCTAACCTTCCTCGTAGGGAACTTGTGTGTGAGTCGTGACACCACATGACATGACAACATTTGTATTGGATTTAGTATTAACCACGCCATTTAGAGTTTGATAATATCAAAGAGCTTCAATGGGAAGAGTTGAAAAATAAACACTTCGGATTGTTGAAGTGAAATTCATAATAGACTTTATAAGTTAGTTTTTAAATAAAATTATTTGAAAAATTCCTTAAATATAAGAGGTTGTCGATAATATTATTTGTACTTACATTTATTAACCTTTTTTTTTTCAATACAAAAAATACTAATATCATTGTTTAAAGTTCAGAATTTAATGTTAACACCATAGGTATAATTACGTCAACATGTCAGGTGGTATTACAATCACGACAAAAAAACTCATGAAAATCAGCCACTTAAGCTATCCCCTCCACCGCAGCGTTCCCTTCTCCCTTCTATAAATTGTGGAGTAAGGCCCTTCCCTAATGCACCATTCTCTAATCTCTCTCTCTCTCTCTCTCTCTGTGAATATAATAATTAAATAATTAATAGATATAGAATTTTAAAATGATGAAGTTGTCATGCTGTGGTGTGGGGCTATGTGTTGTGGTGATGATGGCGATGGTGCTAGGTGAAGAAGCAAGGATGACAGAGGCAGTGACATGCAGCCCATTGGAGTTGAGTTCATGCTTGGAACCAATTAGGTCTGGGACACCTCCTTCAACCACATGCTGCCAGAAACTGAGGGAGCAGAAGCCTTGCCTTTGCGGATATCTCAAGGACCCAGCCCTCAAGCAATATGTCAGCAGCCCCACCGCCAGAAAAGTTGCTTCCACCTGTGGTGTTCCCTTCCCTCAATGCTAAATTAATTACCAATATTAATCACTCCTTAATACTTATATAAAATTAAGTAATAAGAATGATGTCTTCATTAATGTAATTGCTCAAGACCAGCAATCATGATACTATCAATTGTGCCTGGAGAATAATGGGATATATGTTATATGGTTAAAGAAAATAAATAAATGTCAGTGTAATTGATTTCTGAAATATGCGGTTTTGCTTCATTTAGCTTGGCTGCTATTTGAATTTCGTTTTGTATGAAGTCAATTCGATGGCTCATAGATTAGCTCGATTTGCTGTAACTTTATTTCAAGTGCCAATGTGGTATGGGGACCCTTTCAATATCATCATGATGTCTTAGTTGAAGATCGTCCGTAATGTTTCCAATGGCGGATCCAGGATTTAAAAGTCAAGTAGGCGAAACTTACTTTAAAAACTCACGGTACGAGTGAATTTTATTCATAAAAATAAAAAGATACACATAGTCAGGGGGGACGTAATGAGCCTCTACTTGTCTCAAGTTCCCTAGAATCCAACAACTCTTTGAGTTCAGCTTTTTGAATTAAATTTAACTCATTACGGGGCTTAGCAAAAGCGCTAACAAAATTCACAATATTAGTCAACATTGAAAAAAATCTACATACAACTTTCACATGCTTATATTGCTTTTTATTGTTTTTGTTAAAGGAGAAAGTTTGAGTGGGCTGGGCTATTGTTTTTGTTAAAGGGAGAATTTTGAGTGGGTTGGGTTTGAGTAGGCAGAAGAAATTTGATTGTATTGGGTAATTTTTGGCTTGGCAAAAACATGAAGTAGGCAGCTGCCTACCCTGTCCTTAGGGTAGGATTGCCCTTGGTAGGTTGGGTTTGAGTAGGCAGAAGATATTTAATTGTATTGCATATTAGGTAATTTTTGATTTGGCAAAAAATGGAGTAGGTGGTTGCCTACCCTGTCCTTAGAATAGGATCGCCCTTGGTAGGTTGGGTTTGAATAGGCAGAAGAAATTTAATTATATTGAATATTGGGTAATTTTTGGTTTGGCCAAAATTGGAGTAGTGATTGGGTAATTTTTGGTTTGGCCAAAATTGGAGTAGGCGGCTGCCTACCTTGCCCTTAGGGTAGGACTGCCCTTGAATGTTTCTTTCAATAAATAATTTTTTTCTTTAAAAAAAAACATATATAATTTGTGGTTTTAAATGAATTGAAATTTGCATTACCAATTTATTTATGGTTAGCATAATGTAATAAGTTAATTGTAAATTAAACTTGTAAAAATCGCCAATATCCCCAAATTCATTGATCTTTGATTTGAGCATGCAAGAGCTTTGTTGATGTCGTCAGATGAATATCTGAGCTAGAATTGTTGATGTCACCAAATATCATATTTAGTGAAGTTGCATTTCCTCCATGCTACGGCAATGATGTGGTGGACGGTATTGTTGTCCAGTGAAAGACCTGGGTTAGGTTAAAGACGGTAAAACTAGGGCGATTATATTAATTAGGATTAAATATGGTGAGTAGTGTGTACTTATTAAAATTACATTTGTTTCACAATTCAATATATCATTTTTGGTCATTTTATATTATGATAAATTAGTAATTCAATGAATAGTTTGATATCAGGGTGTACTCGGTTAATTTTAAGATTCGTTTAGCAGCACTCATTCAATAAATAGACATGTAATTAATAATAAATTGCTCATTTTAGACTTCAGGGACGTAATAGGAACAAGAAATTAAAACAAAAAATAGCAAATACACAATTATAACTCAGCACATTAAAAAAAAGAATGTAATTCTACATGACATAATAGTCAAAAAACTTGAATCACAACTACTCTTCTACGTGGATTACACCCAACTTCAGTCACCAAAATTCAACTAATGCCAAATTTTGTAAAAATCTAAATTCCGGTGTGAATGTGATCCTCCCACGTGAGCGAGTGTGTTGAAGAAGACTTATGAAAATCAGCCACTCAGTCTTCGCCTTTCCACCACAGCATTGGCTACTTCCTTCTATAAATTGTGCAGGAGGAGCCCT